CCGAGTCTTGGAGAAGTTCAGTGACTTGCCAGACCCACATGGGTTCAGGGCCCGGGTTTGAATGAATACACATCCTGCTGACCAGGGAGCCAGGGGCCAAAGCTGCCTGGATGGATCTGGATCGTTATTTTAAAAGCCAAAACAAAGTATCAGGTCTTCGGGAAAGTCACGACACATTTTTGCATAGAAAAACACATCATGGGACCAGCAGATGGTGTAATGGTTACATCACTGGACTCTCATGTAAGTTGACTGTGGTTTGAGTCCTGGATCCGGTGGCTTAAAACTCAGACCAGGAACATGTGCCCAAGATCCCGAGAGGAGAATGGAGGAGAAGGGATTGTGGCATGGCCATCCCCCTGGGGGATGGTTTCTTGCTTTCTGTCTCTCTGTCTCTACAGCAAGTGCACATGCCCTATAGCAAAAATCTCTCTCAAAAAAGAAAAACACCTCATGACTTACCCTGACTACCTAATGGGGAGTAATGCTGGGAAGGGAGGGTGGGGTTTTGGACCACTTCTTGGCAGTGATCTCTGGGTACCTGCTGCGTGAGGACGAGCGGAGACAAAGGGAAGTAGAAGGGGCCTTCAAAAACTCATGGAAGACGTGTATTATGGTAAAACGGTGTGAGTTTCAACATGTGTGTGTGTGTACATTAGTACCAAAGTAAACTTGTACTGTGATTCCATTTTTCTGTGAACTTTTTGATATCCCCTCATATAATACCCTGGCGTTGAGATCCTTTCATGGTCCTTGCATACAGAGGTCACTTGGCATTTAGGCCAAGCGATGGACAGCAGGAAGGTTATCGACGGCCCGGAGAGTGAGGAGGAAGATTTAAAGGAAGTATCTGAGTTGGATTTTGAAGGATGAGTACAAGTTTGTTAGGACAGAAACATTGGAGAGAGGGGATCCTAGCAAAGGGTAACTGCAGGAACCGTTCATTCGGCCAGCAGCTGGGGAAAGATTTGGAGACAGGGACCGGAGTCTTCCTGAAGCTCCAGTGTTGAGAGCAGCGTCTGACTCGTGCTTGGGAAATGCCCCTTGGGGTGAATACCCAAGGGGGCCCACTCGGAGCAGGGCCATTGAAGCTATGGGAGGAGCAGATGGGCTTGAGTGTGAAAGATTTTGGGCTACCTCAAGGATCGGCTCTTAAAGGCGATAGGGCATTACCTGGGGAGAAAGGGTGATGAGATCGCCCCATTTACTAGTGCAACTCAGCCTGCGGATTTCCCGCAGCAGGAAAACCTTTTAAACACACGTGGAAGCATCTTCAATTTCATTCATCATAAAGAAGGATGCCGAACTGCAGGGAAATACGCTCTGCTGTTGGTTGGCAGGATCAAAGCCTCGTAGTACACTGTGGGCAAGAAGGAGTTGCCCTCACACCTTGTTAGGTGAAATATAAGTTCATGCTACCTGGGGCTGGCCCGGGGGCCTGGTGGTTAAGGGAGCTGGATTGTACGTGGCTGGCTGACTGGTTGGAATCTGGGCTTTGGCAGCTTGAAAAACAGGGGCACAGGTATGTGCATACCCAGAATCCCAACGGGATAGAGAAATAGAGGAGAGAAGGGGTGCTCGCTTAGCACACATACTAACATGGGAAGGGTACAGAGAAGATCGGCATGGCCCTGCGCAAGGATGGCACACAAATTCGTGGAGCATTTCATATTTAAAAAAAGAGAGAGAGAGAGAAATGGAGGAGAAGGGGTCGTGGTGGACGGATTTGTGGGTGGATGGATGGATGGGTTTATGGACAGATAGACAGACATACCTCTGGATGTAGGGAAGCTGTTGCAATAATCCAGGCAAGGTTACTGAAATGTCTCCCATACTGTTTTCTGCTTAACTGCATATATGAAGTCTCTTAATTGTTTTCTTTTTTGAAAGGCAAATTCCTTTGGAATGAACTTCTTCTGGCAACTGTCAGGAGCTATTTTGTGTGTAATAACCACCAAGAGTTCAATCCTTTTTTTTCAACCATCTCCTTAATTACAAGTGGTGGGAAGCCAATGAAAAGAATCAGTCTGATATCTTTCCCTTTTTTTGGGAGAGGTTTTTTGCTATAGGGCCTGTACACTCACTGGAAAGACAGAGAGAGACAGAGAGACAGAAAGCGAGAAATCACCCCCCAGGGGGGATGGCCACACTGCAATCCCTTCTCCTCCATTCTCCTCTCAGGATCATGGGCACGCACGCACAAGCACCCGGTATGAATTTAATCCACCGGGTCTGGGACTTGAACCACAGTCAACTGTGTGGGAGTCCAGTGACATAACTATTAGGCCATGTGCTAGTTCCAAGAATCAGTCTGATTTCAATCACTCCTCTCCATGATCAGATTCTTAACTATAAGGCTCTTTTCCAAATGCCCAAGTCCACAAAGACATGAACTTGGTCTTTTTTTTAGGGTTTGTGTCTTCTTGAAGTTTCTTAGCTATGTCTCTCTAGATGTTTTGACCTTGTAAAGTTTATTTTTAATGGTCCTTGTTCTTGGGTTTGGAAGAGTAATCATTAATATTGTAGAGTAGGTACTGCTGAAGAACCAGCTTAGGAGTTTATGTCTTTTTTTTTTTTTAAAGTCAAACTCCATTATTTGTGTTTTTAGAAAATGTTCAACCATTTTAATTTCTCGAAGAGACAGAAAGCAAGAAATCACTCTCCAGGGGGGATGGTCACACCACAATTCTTTCTCCTCTATTCTCCTCTCGGGATCTTGGGGGCACACACACACACATGCACACCCAGTGTGAGTTTAAGCCACCGGGTCCGGGACTCTAACCGCGGTAAACTACATGGGAGTCCAGCGACATAGCCATTATGCCAACTGCTGGTCCCAACCACTTTAATTTTTTTTTAAAAGAATTATTTAACTCTATTTATTTATTTATTTATTTATTTATTTATTTATTTATTTATTTATTTGAGAGAGAGAGGGAGCGAGCGAGCGAGAAAGCAAGCCACCAGGTCCAGGACTTGAACCACGTTTGACTATGTGGGAGTCCAGCACCTTTAACCACCATGCCACATGCCAGCCCCACCAACCATTTTAATTTCTAAGTATGTAGCTCATTAGTGGTAAGTATATTCACATTGTGTGAAATATACTTATCTCTTTTTTGAAATTCTTGGAATGTGTGTTTTGCTCAGATTGTCAGATTTTTTTTTAAGTGAAGTGTACTGTTTTTCTCGTTTTTCTCACTTTTTGTTTTGTTTGCTTGTTTGTTTTGTTCTAGGACATGTGCTCTAGAGCCAGAGAAAGTGAGAGAGAGTGAGAAATCACTCCCAGGGAGGATAGCTATGCCTCAGGTACTTCTCCAGTCTCCTCTTGGGAGTTAGGGCATCTACACACATGACTCTGGTGTGATTCTGAAGCCACTGAATCTGAGACTTGAACTGCACAGCCAGACACATGGAACCTGGTTCCTTAACCTCCATGCCACCTGCTGGCCCTTCCTCACTTAAAAAAATTTTTTTTTAAAAAAATTTTGGAGCAAGTTCTTTTCCTATAGGGTATGTGCCCTTGCAGAGAGATGAAGAGAGATAGAGAGAGAAAAAGTAAAAGACTACCCCCCCCCCATTGTGGGGGCATGGCCATGGTCCCTTCTTCATTCTCCTCTTGGGATTTTGGGCACGTGCACACACACATCTGATGTGAGTTTCAAGCTGCCAGATCTGGGACTTGAACTGCAGTCAGTTATGTGGGGGTCCAGCACCTTAACTACTTTGCCACCTGCTGGCCTTAGCTTTTTTTTTTTTTTTAATTATTGGAAGGCACTTGTGTTTACCAGGGGGCCAGAAAGAGAGAAAGATAAAGCACCCACCAGTGGGGGTGTGATTATGCCACAATTCCTTCTCTTTCACTAGTCCATCTGTTTGAGATTTTGGACATGCACGCACAGATGTCCAGTGTGTTTCACAAGCCACTGTGTCCAGGATTTGAACCATGCAGTTGGCCAGGTAGAATCTGACTCCCTTAACTATCAGGTTATGGGGCTGGTCCTCTTTCAGCATTATTTGATTGGCTTTAAAGCTTGTAGGAGCTGTATGATTCCAGGTTCCTTGGAATTCCTTGGTGGTCTCACCGAAGCGATGGTGGAAAAGCTAGGGATCAGAGATAAGTGAGGGGAGTGTAGTCCAGTGATGGAAGGGGAACCCTGGGAGTGAAGTGGGCTTCGTAGGGACCGCAGCTAACACAGCATAGAGTTAGCCAAAGGTGGGCTGCTCCCCTGCTCCTGCTGGTGTGAAACCTGCGGCCAGATTTCCTGATTTATAAAAGGGAAGCCAGAAACTGCCCCCCCCCACACCTTTTTAGAGATATTTTTGCTATAGGGCATGCGCACTCACCAGAGAGATAGAGACAGAGAGACAGAAAGCGAGAAATCACCCCCCAGTGGGGATGGCCACACCACAATCCCTTCTTCATTCTACTCTTGGGATTTTGGGTACACATGCACATATACCCTGCATGAGTTTTAAGCTGCTGGATCCAGGACTCCCACAACTATGTGGGAGTCCATCAACATAACCATTACGCCATCTGCCAGTCCCAGAAACCCAAAATTTTATATGAAGTGTCTTGATTTTAAATGTTGGCAACTAATCTAACTTAAAAAAAAAGAAAAAAAAGCGTACCTGAAACAGCAGCAGCAGTAACCACAGTCCGTCTATAGGAGGCAGGAAGTGGTGGGCGGATCCGTTTCTGACCTCTGATTATCCAACCTGATCTCGAGAGAGGATTAGATGTCCTAGAGATAGGACATTGAGGTCCACTCCCATAGGGTGGCAGCCTTCTCTAAAGTCATGTCACTTGTCAGTGGTCAGATCAGGACTCGAACTAAATTCTCCATGATGAAACTCCTATGAGGTTTATCCTTAGATACACTTGATCAGTTTATGTATGTGTGCATCTATTTGGCATGTCTCTAACAAAATACAAGTATGTGTGTGAGTGTGAGAAAGTGTGTAACTGAAAGAAATTTGTTTCCAAGTCCAAAAAGCCTTTTTTTTTTTTGGTAAGAGACATTTTTGCTGTAGGGCATGTGTGCTCACTGGGGAGTCAGAGAGAGACTAGAGAGACAGAAAGTGAGAAATCACTCCCCGGGGGAATGGTTGGCCATGCTTCAACCCCTTCTCCTCTATTCTCCTTCGAGGATTTCGGGCACACATGCTCATGCTCCGGTGTGAGTTTTAACCACCAGGTCCAGGACTTGAACTGCCGTCAATTATGTGGGAGTCCAGCGACGTAACCGTTACGCCATTTGCTGGTCCCATGACCAGGAAGCTGTTTTAGTTGTTAAATGCAGGGACTTGAGTTCTAATTCAGCTCCAGATCTTACCCGCCGTGTGATCCTGGGCCATCACTTGACCTCTCCGTGCCTACATTTTCACACCTGAGGAAAGGAGATGGTAAAGCACGTGTGGAGTTAAAGGAGGTGACGCGATGTACGCGGCGCCTAGATGGGACCCGGCAAACCGTGCACGTGGGGCGTTAACCAGGAAGGTGCTGCTGGCGCTGGTGGAGACGAGGGAGTCAGTTCACAGGGTCATAAAGTAGGCGTGATCCACGTGACTAAACATGTCAGCTTACCGGACAGTCCCCTCAGGACTCCTGTAACGGCCGGCAACCATCTTTTTAAAGTGTCTTTCATGGAAGATAGAGACACAGACCCCCCTGGCAGGGCCTCACCACACTGTCCCCGGCCCTCAACCCGCCCGGTCACAGACACCTAGGGGTGTGCCTGGCCGACTCGGGACCCACCCTGGGGACTTGCCATGTGGCACCCTCCCACCTGTGCCACCACGCTGGGCCAGTCTCCGTTTTGTGCCCAGCAGTGGGACTTACCACAGGTCCGGAACCGTCTGTAGGTAAGAAGAGACGAACAAGCCACTTTATTCCTCCTGACTTGTTTCTTACTCATTCTGGCTACTGATCCTTGAGTTCTCGTGTTTCTCCTGCGGGGTCCTCGGGCCTCGTCAGTTCTTTAAGCTTCCAGGCAGCTGATTTCAAACCCCACGTGCGATCCTGCCCCCTTGGTGCGTCCTGTTGACCGCAAGCCCGTTTGTGTTCGCAGGACTGGAATGTCACGTGGTACACCAGCAACCCCGACTTCACCAAGTGCTTTCAGAACACCATCCTCATGTGGGTGCCTTGTGTCTACCTCTGGGGCTGTTTCCCCCTCTACTTCCTCTATCTCTCCCGCCATGACCGAGGCTACATTCAGATGACACATCTCAACAAAGCCAAAACTGTAAGTCGCCTGGGATTTCACCGTGGGGTACGCGGGGGCTGTGCATCTGGGTCAGGGCAGTGGCCGACAAAGCCTGACCTTTCTCTTCTACTTAATTGACCCTAAGTTCCTTTTTTCTGGAAGGCAGAAGAATAACATGATGGATAAAAGCTAGGGCTCTAGAGTGAAGGGTGGATTCCAACCCCAGCCCTGGGACTAACCAGTTGTGTAACCCTGAGCAAGTTTTCTTAACCTCCTTACGCTTCAGTTTTCCTGTCCGTGCACTGGGGATAGGCTCTTTCTCAAAGATTAGCACGAGATCAGCAGATCTTCCTCCTTTACTGAGGCTGCTCTCTATCTTTCTATGTATTTATTTATAAATTTGCCATGGGGCACATATGTGCACCTGGAGAGAGACACAAGTGGGGGAGTGAGAAACATGGCCATGTTGCAATCCTCTTCTCCAGTCTCCTCTCTGGATGTTGGACACCTATGCACACGTGCCCGGTGTGTTTCTCAGACCGCAGGGTCTGGGACTCGGAGCCACACGGTTGGCCCTGTGGGATCCAGCTGCCCTCACCACCGCGCCATAGGCTGGCTCCTCCTACCTTTTCTCGTAAAATCTATAGTCCTTTTGAGCAGTGAAACGTGTTTACTGTAAACTAAAGTATGCCTTTTAGGGAATAACCTTGAGGGGTGTGTGGCGTCACCAAGGTTGCACCAACCAGGGTTGTGCCCTGCCGGGGCCTTTCAGATGGCGAGGGCCCTCGCAGTCCACAGCCTGCTCCGCACTGCTTTACGTTCCCAGGTTCTAATGATGTGACGTGCTGGGACAGACAACCGAAGCAGCGGTGGAAACATCTGTAGTGGGGCCAGCGGGTAGTGTAGTAGTTAAGGTGCCACGGACCTGGCGGCTTGCAGATCACACCGGGCATGTGTGCGTGCCGAGAGGAGAACGGAGGAGAAGGGAGTGCAGCGTGGCCATCCCCCCTGGGGGGCGATTTCTCTCTTTTCCGTGTCTCTCACTGTCTCTCTCTGGCGAGCACATGCATCCTATGGCACAAACCTTAGGGGGGAAAGAAAAGAAAACATCAGTGGTTGCCAGGGCTCGAAGGGAGGAACGAACCGTAGAGCACAGGGTGTTGAGACGGTGAGTGCACTCGGTAGGATGCTGTCCCCAGGGCACGTGCCACCTCGCTTTTGTCCAGACGCATCCCACCTACAGCAGCGTCAGGGAGCCCTGGCTACGAGCCACAGCAATGCGTCAGTTTCGCTCATTGGTTACAAAACTGCCAGTCTGATGGGGACACCAGTGATTGGGAGGCCATGTGTGAGGGTTGGGGAAGGTTATGTGGGAACTCTGTACCTTCTTCTTAATTTTGCTATAAACCTAAAACTGTCCTGAGAAAAGAAAAGAAACGAAAAGCCTTAAAAATGTCATCTACGTCATCGATGTCCCTATCCTTAACTAGACACAGATCTCTTGGAGGCCCTCTTAGACCTCTGGGTGCGTGTGCTTTTCCTGGGGTACAGTCTCTCCTTTGATGGTGTCAATCAAGTTTGGTCCTTGCCTCACTTAGCAACCCTTCAGTAGCTTCCCACGACCGGCAATAAAATCTGGATGTCCTTGTGGTGACCCCGTGTCCTGTGGCTCCGGACTCCTCTGCCATCTCACTGATCTATGGCTGCTTCCACACCAGGGCCCGGCTCTGAGCATGTTCCTACCACAGGGCCTTTGCACTTCCTGTTCCCTCCGCCTGGCTTGCACTTTCTTCCCACGCAGTCACTGCTTTCCACTCCTGATCAGGGGTCCCCTGAGCGGAGGGGCCTGCCCACCGTTCTCTCCACGCTTTTTACTTGTCTGCATAAAGCTGACTGTTCTCCAGCACAGTATTACGGATTTCCTCGTTTGTTCCAGCCCTGGGAAGGCGGAACTTCTGCCTGTGTCGCAGACTCTTGTATCGCCAGCACCTTGACAAGCATGTGAGCCATGGCGGGTCCTCGGTAAATGCAACAGGACTTCCAAAAGGCTGTGATAAGTCAAATTAAAGTATGAACTTACTTTGGTGCAAAGAACTTTGGAGTTCACGCATAGTTTTTCCATAATGTGCATTCCGCATAAACCTTTTGGAGACCCCCTGTGCTGGCTGGGTGAATGGTGATGGTGTGAGGGCCCTTAGGTGGGGTGTGGGGTCGTTATGTAGACGCACTGCAGGCTGGGCTCTCGGGTGTTCAGGTGCTGGGGAGAACAGTGCCAGACAGAGTTCCTCCTGGGGAGGGTGGGGCACAGCTAGTGGTTACAGACCAGGACGTGTCCCCATTCCCGAGGATACAAGCTGCGTGTGGGGACCACAGCGGACTGTTTGGGGCCTGGCCAGTTCCTCCGAGGCTGCACTTCCTGTGGGGTACCGGAGCTAGTACCAGTGCTGTCTGTGATAGGTCGTGTGTGTGCTTCTCCTCCAGGCCTTGGGATTTTTGCTGTGGATTGTCTGCTGGGCAGACCTCTTCTACTCTTTCTGGGAAAGAAGTCAGGGCGCGCTCCTGGCCCCAGTGTTTCTGGTCAGCCCGACCCTCTTGGGCATCACCATGGTAAGTAGAAGTTGGCTGTGAAATCTCAGTGCTGTGGAGACCAAAGACAGTAACTGGCACTTAGAAATGAGCAGATCTCACGGTACAGATGAAGGGATCTGGCCTCTTTTGGAGAAACTCAATGATCTGGTGTTACCGGCCTCGTTTTGTAAAGCAGTGATTGGATGGAGCTGAGATGCAGCTGCGGCCTTGAGATGGCATGCGTTGTCCAGCTGGTCACAGTCCTCACCCTGCCCTATCATCCTCCCTGCTGCTGAGACTGGACAGCAGGCCCTCTGGTTCATTGCATTTGCTGTGCTCTGTCTTCACGGTGGGTACCTGCCTGAGACCTCATGGCCCTGGGAGTGTTCACGCCCTGGCGTAGGGGGCAGAAACCAAGGTGAGCAGGAAACTCTGCTACATGGCATGACACAGCCGCGATCACAGAATGACATGCTCGGATTAAGGATGTCCCCATGTGTGTCCTGTGTGCCTTGGGACCTCTGAGGAGCCCCGAAGTTCCTTGGGTGTTGTAGAATGAGGAGGAGGGCGTTAGAGGTGGTGGTTCTGAGCAGGGAGGCTGGTGGGTCAGAGGGGTGTGTGGGCAAGAGGATGAGCACCTGGGAAGCGAGAATAGGAGTGGAGTGCAGTTTGGCAGCGTGGGGCCAGACTGGGCAGGCCTGAGAACCTTCATAGCACACATGCAGAAAGTCTTAGGAAAGCTTATGGAAAAATGTTGGGTTTTTTTTGGAGAGGTTTTGACTATAGGACGTGTGTGCTAACCAGACAGAGAGACAAAATATGAGAAATCACTGCCCAGGGTGGATGGCCACACTGCAATTCCTTCTCCTCCACTCTCCTCTTGGGATCTTGGGCACGCACGCACGCGTGCCTGGTGTGAGTTTAAGCCACTGGGTCTTGGACTCGAACTGTGGTCATCTACATGGGAGTCCAGCGATGTAGCCATTATGCCGTCTGCTGGTCCCTTTTTTTTTTTTAATCCATGGATATCAAAATAATTTATTTTTTATTGGCAGAGGGTGGGTCTACTCACTGGAGACAGAGCGCGCGAGAGAAAGCACCCTCCATGGGGCACAGTCAATGCTCAATCCCTTCTCCCTTTCCTCTCCTTTCGGAAATTTGGACGTAGCACACGTGCACACCTGGTGTGTTTCTTCGAGCCACTGGGTTTGGGACTCACACCACACTGCCCTGTGGCATCCAGCCACCTAAGCCACCAGCCCCTGGGTGGCCTGGATTTCAAAGTCATTTTGCAGCAGTATAGTCTTGTATTTTAGTTGCACTTTCCCTGGGTGTGTTGTCGTCCCCATGTGTCCAGGGTTTGCTCTGTGCCAGGCACTGTCCTACTCTATGTGTTGGAGATCAACGGGTTGAGGTACAGAGAAGTGGAGGAACTGGCCCAAGGTCACGCAGCCAGCGAGCAAGCCAGCGGGCCAGTCCCCACCAGGCTACGCCGCTGGCTTTGGCATCTGCTGCCCTATGTGGCTGTGGTGGCTCTTTGCCTGACCCCAGCTGCCCTCTGGGCTGGGCCACCCATTGTGTCCTGAGAGCTGTCATCAGTACACACCAGCAGTGCAGCGTGAGAGCCGCCCAGTAAGGGCTCTGCCTCGGCGGGGTGGCGAGGTGGGCTGTTTCTCCCTGAGGAGCTCGTATGCCTTCACATGCCCTGTTCCTGGTCGTCTGGTGACTCATTCGCGCCTACGTCCATGTCACTGGGGACACAGGTGTGAGACCCGAGAGTCACTAGCTTTTGACCCCTTGGGGCTCTCCACTGGGTGGCTGAGAGCTGAACTGGCCTGTGGGACCTGAGCCTCTCTGCGCCCTCGGGCTCCGTGGCCAGCCTGCTGTGACCGGGAGGGCACGGTTCCTCCATACCCCTGGGAAGCCGGATATGCAGACACCGGGAATATGGGACGGGAGACAGTCAACGAGTATCTTCTTACCCCTGCTATGTGTTAGCAGCTGGAGATAAACGTGTGGAGCCCCCCTCAAGATGCACAGCGCGTGTCCTCATATACTGAGTGCGCTGGGGCGACCTGGCATGCAGGGAGGCTTCCCTGGGGGAACAGGCCAGCCGAGGCCTGAAGGGTGATCAGGGTCCAAAACGTTGGAGGGGTTGAGGAGGGTAGAGACCATCTGGTTGGCGAGAGCAGCACGTGCAGGAATCCTGGGGCAGAGAAATGGACAGTGAGGCGGGGAGGAGGGAAGACTCCAGAGACGCCGAGTGGCAGGTAGGTGGGTCGTGTTCCATCTTTCCTTCCCAGAGCTGCGTTCTAAACCTTACTTGTGCCATGGACCCCTTTACCCTTTGCCAACCTGTTTTCCTCCTCAGCGTCATAACATAAAATATGCAGGATTACCAAGGAAACCAGTCACCCCACATGTATGTGTGAGAAGTTCCTGATGCACATTTACGTTTTTATTTGGGGCTTAGTTTACATACAGTACAGTTTTCCTTTTTCACGTCCAAGTTCATGCATTTTGAGAAACACATCAACTGCTACTTGCCCAGTCAGGACTCGTCACCCCACGGTTCCCCACGAGGCCTCTTGGTGGTTTGAACCTCCTCCCCTCTGTCCCCCTGGCACCACTGGAGAGCTTTTTTCCTATGGCTCTGCCTTCTCTGGAAGGTCATGCGATTGGACCACACCGATTGGGGCATCCCGAGTGGCTCCCGGCAGTAGGGTTCTGTCATAAGTTTGCGTGGATCCAAAAATCTCTAAAAAAACGAATTCACCAAGCAGCGTTTGATTATGTGGCTCCACCACACAGTGCCTGTCCGTTCCTCATTTGCAGGACTTTCGGGCTGCAAGGCAATTGTATTTAAATACACTTACAGAATGCTGAAGGACAGAGCTGGATGAAGAGATACATGTTGCTTTGTGAGCGCGTTGCATGTCAAGATCAGGCGGGAGGCTGTCCCAACTCTAATTTCCAACTAGTGATGACCACCACTGGTAGTTGGAGACAGCGCTGGCTACCCCAGTGGGGTGTGACTGCGCCTGAGACTTCCGCTGGTGACGAGGTCCTGGTGCTGCCTTCGCTTCTGACTGGTGTTGCCAGTTAGGGAACATGAAGACGTCCTTGTTTCCCACTCATGTTCATAGGACCCCTTGGGCCCAGGTTAAACCCATGGTCCTGGGCCGGCGGGTTGCGTGGTGGTTAAGGCAGCACTGGACTCCCACATGGCCGACAGTGTTCTGAGTTCCAGACCGGGAAGCTTGCTTTCTCACTTTCCCTCTCTCTGTATCTTAATCTCTCATCAAAAATTAAAATAAATAAATACAGATGAATAAAATTAAATTTAAAAAAGAAAAAAAAAAAACAAAGACAAATCATAGCCCCAATGGGACTGGTATAATGGGTCATCTGGATTGGAACAGAAGCCAGGAGGCCAGTCAGTGGAGGGCTGCCTCGTCCCCTTCTCTAGTGACCCCCACAGTTCCCCCACGCCCCTCGCTCCCCACCTCCAGTCTGTCAGCAGCTTGCTCTGGCTCTGCCCCTAGGCCTGTCCTCAGTTTCCCTGCTGTTCCTCCACAGTCTTCCTGCTGCGATGTGGCTGCAGCGAGTTCCCGCTCATGGGGACATGTGAGCCAGGCGTGTTCTGGGGGGCCGCTGGACTTGGACCTTTCACGAGGGTCAATCCTTGCGGTCACGGTGCTGCTGCACCACCGTCTGGCCTGGACCTTTGTTCCTTTTCTTTCGGACCTTTCAGTGCCAAGGGCATGTGTGTGCACACAAGATGAGAGAAGCCCCAGGGGCCCGGTCATGTTGTAGTCCATTTCGCCCAGTGTTTAGCCACCAGGACCAGGATTTGAACTGTGGTTGGCCATGTGGGATCTGGCTCTGCACAGTGCTGAATCGCTGTGCTATGGAGCCAGCTCCCTCTTATTTTTTGAAAGTTTACTTATTTATTCATGGGTATATGTGTGAGAAGGAGAGAGACAGGGACAGGCACCCCAGCAGTCCTCACACCACTGTCCGCCCCGAGCCTCAGCCAGCCAGGATCTCAGGCACACCTCACGTGTACAGGGAAGCCCCAGGACGTGAACCTGGGACCCTCCCAAGTAGGTCCAGTTGCATTATTGCTGTGCCACTGCCTGGCCCCATGTGCGTGGTCTCATTAAATCCCCATCTCTTTTCACCTAGGGGCTGCTAGCATTTTCATTTTGTAGATGAGGCAGGGAAGGCTCCAGGAGGTTCTGGGACTTGCTGGACACCCAGCAGGGCAGGGGCAGAGCTGGACGTGGAGCCAGGTCCTTCTCAGGCAGTTCTTGTACCTCTGGGCCGAGGGCAGCTCCTACCCCAGGTCCAAGGTCCCCCAGGAGCATGGGGCCTCAGGGGGCTGCCTTCTCTTAACTGCTGTGCTGTGTGCTTCTCTCTTCCAGCTGCTTGCTACCTTTTTAATTCAGCTCGAGAGGAGGAAGGGAGTTCAGTCCTCAGGGATCATGCTGGTGTTCTGGCTTGTAGCTCTGCTGTGTGCCCTTGTCATCTTGAGATCGAAAATCATGACTGCCTTAAAAGAGGTAAGTGCTGGCCTTATTCTGCATCCTCCATTGTGGCCTCGGGAGACACACTTGATCCTCTGGCGTGTGCTGCCATGAAACTGTGGTGTGGGTACACATGGGCCTGGCTGCTTCCCCAGGGGGAGTCCCTGCTTCCCAACTTCTCACTTCTCACCAAGTCAGCTCCAGCAAAGGCTGGAGGTTCTAGAACCTTCTTTCCTCAGGGCCCCACTTGTCTGTATAGCTCCAAGGGGTCCGTATGGTTTGGATGGAAGCAGGTTCCACGTGAGCCTCTGTCAGTGGGCTCTGTCTTCAGTTCGGAATGCAGCCATCTGGGAGGGTATGTATGGAATGACTTTTCCCCCATGTGTGGAATGACTTCCCCCAGGGAAAATGACATTTCCCCCGTCTCCACGTTACCCTTGTGCCATCAGCTGCCAGTCTGGCCCGGTGACTTGTTTACATTGGCTGCCAACGCCACTCCTAGGAATTTTGAAGAGTCTGCACTTTCAGACTCTCTGCTTCCAGGGCGTGACGACCTGGGGCAGAGGAAGGTGAGGAAACCAAGCCCTCACCGAGCACTGGCAGTGCAAGGGACGCGTGGTCTCTCATAGTGGTGGCAGTTGACACCGACCGTGTATGTCGGAGGTACTACACAGGGAATATTGGTTTTTAGATTATTTTGCCATAAGGCATGCGTGCTCCCTGGAGAGAGACTGACAGGGAAAGTGAGAAATCACCCCCCAGAGGGGATGGCCCCACTGCAGCTCTTTCTCCTCCATTCTTCTCTCAGGATTTCGGGCACACATGCACATGTGCCTGGCCT